AGAACCGTTCTACCCTTCATAGCACGGTCCAGAGCATCACGAACCTGAAAAGTTAAAATTTTGAATTCGATGGTAATCATAGTTAAGCAAAAGATGTTCTGTAGACCCAGATTCAGGCAGAGCTTCTGAACACTTAAAACTTCCACTTGTTTGAACTATTTATGACTCTGTCATTGTGAGTGAGAGCAATCGATTCAGCAGAAAAAATATTGGATTGCTTACAGAAATCTAAAGAAAGGCAAAGATATAGGAAAAAAAAGCGTACCAAACGTTCGCTTTCAGCATCAAGCGCACTGGTCGCTTCATCAAGAACAAGTATCGGTGGATTTTTCAACAAAGCACGGGCAATCGCTACTCGCTGCAAAACGACGATTATTTATGTGTATCACTCTTAATTTTTCAATCTCACCTGCTTTTGGCCGCCAGATAGTTGCGTACCACGCTCTCCAACAATTGTTTTGTAACCGTCAGGAAAGTTGGTGATGAAGTCATGCGCATTCGCTAACTGCGCAGCTTTAACTACCTAGAGATGATTATTTGAAACGCCTTTCCGAGTTAAAAAAAGCAGTTAACAGCAACCCAGCTTAAGAAGCACCTCTTGGTCAGTGGCTCCAGGTCGACCATAACGTATGTTTTCTTCGATAGTAGTTGCGAAGAGCACAGGTTCTTGAGAGATTAGCCCAACGACCTGGCAATAGGTGCAGAAAAAATTTTATATAAAAGATAGGAGAAAATATTAAGTACACTACTTGGGCAGATAGCAACCGACACGACGGGTGTTTACTTCCGCCAAGACAATTGAGCATAACTTTGCTAACCTGGCCTCGCAACCATTCTACGTTAAGAGTTCTCAAATCTTGATTGTCCAAAAGAATTCGCCCAGAAAGAGGTTCGTAGAAACGTTCCAGCAATGACGTTATCGTTGTTTTACCTAAAAAAAAGATTGAAACTGACAAGGCCAAGAAATGCGGTGATGGAAAATAGTTTAGAAGGCAGCCTAACCTTCGCCACTAGGTCCGCATAGGGCCACAATCTGCCCTGCTGGTATGGTGAGGTTCAACTTTTCAAATACGTGGTGATCTGGACGGGTTGGGTAAGCAAAGTCTACGTCTTCGAAGCGTACTTCTCCCCATAAAGTGTGGTAAGGGATACA